AGAGAGAGAGAGAGGGAGAGAGAGGGGAGAGAGAGGGAGAGAGAGACAGAGAGAGAGAGACAGAGGGAGAGACAGAGGGAGAGAGAGAGAGGGAGAGAGAGTAGGGGAGAGAGGAAGAGGAGGGAACTGTCGGTTGGAAAAGCTGGCGCGTAAAAGGAGCTCAATGTCATCCCAGGCGGAGGCTGTCGTTACCGTTATCACCGCTGCTGAGAGCACACGAGCATCCGTGCCGCTACTTCTCTCGTCCGATTGTTTCTGGTGCAGCAGCTGCAGCCACGTTTGTTCTTCGAGGTGAGCGTTGAAGAAGAAGAAGAAGAAGGAGAAGAAGTAGGAGACAAAGCGAAAAGAAAAGAAAAGAAGGAGAAGAAAAAGAAGCAGCGGTCAGCCTCCGCGGTTAAAAACTAATCCCGGCTATTATCCGTTAATTAGTCGGTCGTAAGGAGCTCCGGGGGGATCTGCGGTTTGCTACACATCTTTCTCCACGCAGGTAAACACGAGCATTGCTCAAAACATAACGGAAATGTCATTTTAAGTGAAGTTTCCGTAGGAGAGGAAACTCATATAAAGGGATATTCAGTGAAAGTGTAACGTTAACTTGGGTGGAGGGTGTGTGTGTGTGTGTGTCAGGTGGGGGTCCTTTTTGTTGTAACGTTATGCTGACGGTGTTGCCAGTTAAGTGTGCGCCGGTTAATAGAAACAGAGCTTGTAATTACATTGATTGGCTTTAAAGTGGGGAGGACACAGGATACTGCACCCTCCTCTCCTGACAGAGACAGAGACGTCCAAAGGAGGTCAGTGGACCAGACTGCTTGCTGCAGTAGTCTCTATTTCCCTCCGTGTGCTCCTCCTCCTCCTCTGCATCACTTTAACCTAGATATAAGAAATGACCTTAACCTGGTTTTCATCATCCACATACTGAATGACTTGGCAGAGCTAGGGAGACAGTCTTCATGGTGCTGTCACTTGTTATTCCCTCACCTGAAAACCATTACAATGTTGTTTCATTTGCTGTTCTCTCACATTGATTTTGTCCAGTCCAGTTTGAGCAGTATGGTTTGTTTAACCTTACTTGTAAGCTGTGATTTCACATTTCTACATACACTACACACTCTTGCTCTTGTTAAAAAAATAAAAAGAAACCTCAGCACATGGTCAAGTGGCAGTGTACACTTTTTTTCAGCCCCACCCCTACCGCACAACCACTCATTAGTTGCATTTTGAATATGAAACGCACATTCACATTTTGAAAAGGTGAAAAGAAGAAGGCAGTCACGACCGCGTCGGTGTGTCACAGAGCAGCAGCCGATCGCAGCGAAGAGAGCGCTGGCACAACGTAAAGAGCACACCACCTGCAGCCACACAGCGTTTGTTTGCTCCAGATTTTCTCGTGGTGAATGTTCAATCTTTGTCTTTGCCTGTAGCTGTTGCCAGGCAACTTGCAGTTCTTTGATTGGAGACTTTGACAGCGTTCGTGTTCAAGGTGGGACGGACGTTGCCATGCCGAGCGTAATTAGCTGATGGATGTCCGTGTGTGTGTTTGTATGTATCAAAATGAACCCGCTGTGCCCGTCTATTCTAAAAATGCACTCTCATGGTGCAGAAATATTGTACTTCACCACAAATGCTGCTTTTTATCAGTTCAATGAATCTCCCTGCCAGTCACCTTGACCCTGTTTCCCCGTCGCTTTCAGTCACGCTGATTGATTTTACTTCACTGTATTGTTACTGGCGTTTTGCAGTGCAGCTGACCAGCACCAGCACCAGCACCAGAAGGGGCGGGGGTGGGGGGCTCCACAAATCAAGCACGACTCGTTTAACATTCTTACAGACGTGTTCCTTTTCTAGTTTATCTTGGATTCGGTGGCTTTTATTTATTTATTCTGCACCCGGTTTACACAGCAGTGCCCGTCAGATTGGCAAACACATCCACCTGGCAGGAGGAAGCCAGGAAGGCCAAGGCAGCATCAAAGCACTGAACAAAAAGCTCCATAGAAAAAGCCACTGCTGAGACTCTGCTCAGTGACTTTCAAAACTGAGAGGCAAACAAAGTTGAGGCGGAGGTATAAGTCTGCTTTCACTGCCCGCACCCTGTTTAGAATAGCTCATCACCCGTGTTTGCTGTTTTGTTTGGTCACCATTTTGAAATGACTCGCTGATTCTGGAAATAACGATGCGAAGCAGCAAACTGCCAATTCAGGAGAGAGTGTTTGCCAATACCTCTGCCGGGCCCCGGACACAACACCACAGCCAGCGCTCCACTTTGATTAGATAGTCACTGACAGGAGGAACCTGCCACATACGGAATGTCCCACTGAGACAGCCAGTGCCCGTCAGTGCTGCTCCAGGTTCCTGTGATTTGTAGTGTGTGTGTGTGTGTGTGTACATTTTCCATCCCCACCCCTCTCAGCACCATGGAGTGTGACAACATTGACAGGAACAACAAAGTTATCAAGGATGTCTTCTTCCTTCAGACCACTCCCTCTTCCCAGCACACTCACACACACACACACACACACACACACCTACACACACGCGGTTGATGATGCTGAAGCTTGGTGAACAGGAGGTGGAAATGGGAATGAGGTAAAGGGGAGACGGAATGAGAGGGGCCGACGCAACGGCAAGAAACAGTGAGCACAGGGAGAGATGAAGGGTGGTGCGGGTGTGTGCGGGGGGGTGGTTGGAGCGGTGAATGTGTGGCGAGTGAGGAAAACGTGAGGTGGGAAGGAGGATGCTGGTCCAGGAAGTCTGCTCAGCCTCACATGACTTGAAGCGTTGTTGACATTAACTAGCCGATGGCCTTTCAATGGCCCATCTCTTGATGGGCCTCCACTGGCTGCCTTCCAGGAAGAGAGTGATACTCTGCCTCGCGTTATTGGATGAAGTCCCACACACAACAGACCAATCAGCACTGTTCACATGGACACTAATGTCTGTTGATACACGGTTGTGTATTGAGTCGTAGCACATTGTGGCTACGCAGTGTGATGTGTGTGTTATCTGCTGACAATAAGTGGATAACATGAATAGGAAAGACCTTTTTGTCATTGGAA